CCAAAATACTTCCTAAGGCTCTACTGCCTTTTCGAGGTATTTTGGGGCTTAATTTTCGAACTCAGGCTCAATGGGCAATTTCTTCCATTTTGCCCTTTACGGCAGTTAGGCCCGTAGTAGCTGCCGGAAGAAAAAAGCCCCTACACTAGTCTTCATGATGAAATGCACAACCATCGTGATTTTGCTCATTCTCGCCGTCACAAGTGTTTCAACTTTCAATATCTCTCTCGCTATAAAAAAAAATTTGAATTTCATACCATGTACTGATATTTTCAATTCCTAGTAAGACTATAAAATTAAATCTATCTATTGACCCCAAAAAAAGAATAATAATAATTCTATCCCAAATAGCAGTAAGGATTATGCTTGTTGGAGATGTTGTTGATCATTAGATACTATTTTTATTTATTTATGTGTATATATATGTAGATGTTGATATTGATTTAAAATATGTTATTTTCATTTTATTTAAAGAGAAAAAAAAAGAATTCACACTTTTATTGGGCCTATTGTTAAGGTATTATAAGGATCAAAGATATAGTTTTGGCTTCATCTCACATGTTTTTTTTTTTTTTTTTTTTTTCTTAAAGTTAGGAATGGGGAAAGGGAAAAACGGGTATCGTACGTAGGGGTTTGAACTCATGATTATTTGGGAACACACCAAAGACCTCGCCCGATCCAACTAACAACACATTAGTTCAACTCACATGTTCGCAAGCATCAATTTTGACATTATGTTATCGATGTCACATCCCGGGATCAGCTCTGCCGTAGCACGATATTATCCATTTTGGGGTCCTCCTCTCTGTCCTCACGATTTTGTTTCTAAGAACTCACAAGCAACTTCCCAGTGGGTCACCCATCCTAGGATTGCTCTAGCCCCAACTCGCTTAACTTAGGAATTCTCATGACTCCGATGCCAGTGAGCTCTCAAAAGGCCTCGTGCTAGATAGATGTGGGCATGTACATATAAAGCACATCACCTCCTCTCCGTTAGTCGATGTTGGATGTTACAATCCACCCCCCATAAGGGCCCAATATTCTCGTCGTCACACTCGCACCACATGGCAGAGTAGTTCTGATACCAAATTGTCACATCCTTGGATTGGCTCTATCGTAGCACGATATTGTCCTTTTTGAGACTCTCCTCTCTACCCTCACAATTTTGTTTATGAGAACTCACAAGCAACTTCCTAGTAGGTCACCAATTCTAGGATTGCTCTAGCCCTAACTCGCTTAATTTAGGAGTTCTCATGACTTTGAAGCCAGTGAGCTCCCAAAAGGCATCGTGCTAGATAAAGGCGAACATGTACATATAAGGCACATCACCCACTCTCCGTTTGCCGATGTTGGATGTTATAATCGAAATCTTAAACAAATACTTTCTTGAAGAAAAAAAAAAAGACTACTATTCAAAAAATAAAATTATTTTTCAGGGGTCCTTTTTTATATCTTATAAGTAAAAATATATTTTTTAATACAAGCAATAGTTTAAACTATAAGAGAGAGGAGAGCTTCTCACGCATATACTATTACGGTCAAGGATTGAAATATCGGCCAATACACCGATATATCTGCCGATATATCGGTATTTTCAACTATCGACATTGATACTGGGGGGCAAGGCCATATCTTCCCCGGTATCGACGATATATCCCCGATAAGTGCGATATTCCCGATATTTTGCCGATACCCCCGATATTTCCTGATACCCATAACAGAACCCAAAAAAAATTCAGAAGTTTTGAAGGCAATTGAAGCAAATTGAAACCCAAAATTAGTTAATCCTTGCCCAAAACCCTATAATTTATTAATATGAAGAATCTATGCACAGTCCACTGCCCACATACCTCCAATCCATCTGAAGAGGACATGGCGATCAGTTTTGGATCTATGAACATAGGAACTAGACCTAGTACTAACTCAAATGAATCGATGTCTATGTTTATGTCATGTCTAATTATAGTGGAACTAGTTATGGAGCTCAAGATGATAAAAAAAATTATGGACCTACTAGTTGGTTAATCCTAACTATCCCATATATGAGAGGATAATAGGGAGCTCAAGAGAGACCTATGTGCACCATGTTCAAACATGGCTTACAAATTGCTCGGGTTACATGACTTGGTATGACTATTGTATGAATCTAGATGGTTGTTCCTCATTGTTTGAACCTCATTGGAGCTCTTCATTTATGTAGATGGACACTTATCTAAATTGTAATACAATGTTTAAACAAATTATGGATTTATGCATGGTTTATTCATTCTAATTAACATTTTATTTTCAAACTTTTCATTAATGCGCATTACATACCACTTATATTTCATCATATGTATATCTTATTATTAGTAAATTTTGAGTTTTATTTGTTCAATACATTCATTGATAATGTACATAACATCTATGAAAGTTTTACACAAAAATTATGTGTTTCAATGCCTATATCTGTCATTTTTGTTGATTTTTTCCCGATATCTAAAACAATAACGATATGTCCCCCAAAATATCCATAAACTGGAGGCCCGATATTATCTGCACGGCCGATATTTTAATCTTTGATTACGGTGACATGGGAGTTCGAATATGAGACCACTGTTATGCAAATCAAAGTAAATATTAAGACAAATATTTCAAGTAAAAAGCCATAAAATATCTCTCCTCATTATGTATAGTTTTAACACTTTTACATTAACACTTACCACAAACTATGACATTATTTTTTTATACTACGAGCACTTTTAAAATTATAGTTTACTAAACACTCAACTATATTAGTTTTGGTTTTTCTTATAGCAATACTAACTGACCATTAACTAGTTGTATCATTACATATTCCTTATGAGGGATCAAGCTACATGTAATTGTTAGAAAATTTTAAATTGTAACAACTGTTATACCAAGTTATGAGAAACTTTTTGTAGCCTTGAAATGACATCATTTTCAACTCGACAATTGATAAAGACTCAAGCCACTTTGTAAATATCTTCGTTTAAATTTTGATTCACGATTTGTTTGTGCCTACGCATGTGGAATCCATGTAAATTAAAAATAAGGTCCGCAATTACCACATAGACATAGAACACCGAAAGCTAATCGGAGCTTACCTAATGTAGAATTCTCATGACGTCGGGTACTAATTTAAAATGATTTGAAAGGTCGATACCAATTTGAAATGACTCGAAAAAGTTGGGATTAATATGTAATTTACCCTTAAAAATACAATTTTTGTAAGAAACCTAACAATTAAGGAAAAAAAAAAGGGATGAAAAGATGGAGTATAGCACTCATCAACCTTTGGTCGGAGTGAAGTCGTTATTATGGTGAAACCGAGTTAAAATTATAAAAATCCAATCTTCGATTCGCATTAACACACACGACACGCCCTCTCTTCTTCTTTCTTCTTCTTGTTCTCCTTTGCCTTCCGATCTACAACAACAGACTACAGCTGTACATTTCTGTACCCACCGCCAACTCCCAGCGCCGACATTATCTTCAATATCTTCTCCATCTAAATCTCTCTCTGTGTTGTTTCTTTGTAAACTCGATCGAACGTGCTCTCTCTCTCTCTCTCTCTCTCTCTCTCTCAACTCACTCCGAGTCGCTTGCCTATTTGGGTATTTGCAGTTTTGTAACAGTAATGATACACTCAAAGCCTGTGAGCGGAGAAGCTTTTTAGGGTTTTTGCTTCTGGGTTTCTCAGCCATGGCGACTGAGGGTCAGAGCCCCCCGATGAGCTGGAGAGATTCCTACAGGGGCATGTCCTCTGACAACATCAAGGGTTTGATTCTTGCTTTATCTTCGAGCTTGTTTATTGGTGCTAGTTTCATTGTCAAAAAGAAGGGTTTGAAAAAGGCCGGGGCTTCTGGCATCAGAGCAGGTTCGTAATTCACATGCTTTTCTGGGTACACTTTTCAAAGTTCAATTTCTCCTCTTTTTGTTATTCTGATGTGGGTTGTTGTCAACGGAGAGCGATTGGGTGTTTGAGTTTATGTTTAAATTGTTGTAATTTTCAAAGTTTACCCGGAATTGAGTGAAAATGGACAATGGGTTCAACTGTAGAGCGCAGTTCAGATTGGTGCCCACAGGTGTTCTATTTAGTGGATTGAAGTTGAAGGAAGTTTAGACCCTAATTTATGTTAACTATTAGTTGCTGATTGTTAAATTCTTGCTGATATCTGCAATTTTGTTTTTTTAAACCCAATTTTACTCAGTTCATCAATTGGGAAGCTATCTAAACTAAAAAGACCCTCTGGGTGTTTTAAAGTCACTTTGTCAAGATATGATGCCAATTGTGTGTCTGGATGTGTGTTTTCTTTTCTAATGTTATGCAAGATTGTTTAATGTTGAGCAGTTGTGTTTCATTTTAGAATTTGTTGTTTAATTTTCAAACTTTTTTTTTTTGTTACATGGAAATGGATATAGGATAAATAACTTATATGCTGAAGATTGATTCATAAAGTTGTTGAGTTTACAAATTTTCCGTCAGTTGGCAATTTGGTTTGTTTAGTAGATTAGCAGTTCAAAGTTAAAGTGATATTACTCTTGTTGAAAAAATTGTTCACTTCATTCTTACTGAGTCTTAAATATCAGTTGACATTAATCACATGCCATTTCAAATTTTATTTGTCAATGTATGATTACCATATCTTAAGCAGTTGCATGCATGGTGTATGTATGATGCCTATGGCGGAAGAAGCTCAGTATCAAAAGTTTATACATGTAAGGGATAAATTTGTGAAGTTTTCATATATTTGTTATTTTAATCATTGAATTTTTAGAATTCTTTATTTTTCGTATCACAGTGATGTGTGTGAAATGAGTTTCTCGTTTGTCGCGTTATTGGTTCTCTAGACTTCCTTTGCAGTTAGTTCCAGTTATTAGTGTTACGTCTTGTAACCCTTGAATAGATACATTATGTCCTTCCAACTACTTTATTTAATTAGTACAAGTTTATTAAAAACACCAAAGGCGCTGCTCGATTCATATGATTATTGACAATACTAACAATGGGAATCCGCTAATCTGGGTTGATTTGTTATTTGAAATTTACATTTCTGCATTGATTTTGGTTGGCCAGATCAAGTAAAATATAGGAGTTAATTGAAGTATCAGTTAAAATTACGATCATTGTGGGTTTACCTTTAACAGTGTTGCACATTTATGATTCGATTGATTTGAATGAAAAGTTTAGGATTAACCTTTATCTTGAAACCATTGACCAAATCAACTATTGTTGTATGTCTACAAGTGATTGTTAGTTGCTGATCTTATGTCAAAGAATGTAATGATAGAATATTTTCAGAATATTGACTCTTTTAATTCAAGTCAAGTGATTGTTAGTCTGTGGGGTTTTTTCTTTCTTTTTATTTGTTGTTCTCAATATGAGTATTCTAGATGACTTGCATGTATTCATTGCATCTTACTTATCAGTACATATTTGGTTTGTTTACTTCCGTGGGGTTTTAGTGCATCATCTTACCTTTGTGATAAATTTAACAACTCAGTATCTGAACAACAAATAGACAGTAGTTGGTTTCAGTATACTCTAAATAATGTTAAGGTGAATTTTGTGAAATTATTTGTTAGAGTTTTTAGAGAAGCTAGTCTGTATCATGTGTTATTTTTTTATTTTAGGTTTTTTTTTCCCATGCCTTTGTTGCTTGTCTATTCTTTTATGCTTTATATATTCCTGTGTTTCTTTCATTTATCACATTGAATAATTGGAATTGAGTCACTTTATATGTTCGACAGGAGTTGGAGGATATTCTTACCTCTATGAGCCACTTTGGTGGGTGGGCATGATAACAAGTGAGTTATAGTTCTCTTTTCTCAATTATGTGATCAATGAAGATCAATTATTGTTTGTTTTTTCTCTGAGGATTGTAGTTTCTATTTATATATTTGAAATGTACTGAAGGTGATTATTTTGAATACTATAGAAAAAAAATGACTTCTGATTGATTACATTTTCTAAAGTGCGCGTACACACAAATATGTGGATCCTAGTTGACAGATATTTGAAACAATAAAACTAATTTACAGGGAAAGCCTTTTTGCACCGTAAGACATGAATAAATTGGCATCCTTGTCCTTCCTGAATAGTAATTTTGAAAATGTCTTTATGTTCTATGAATTTAAGGGTATAATTCTAGTTTTGGCTAACCTTGGTGAGGGCAATTCTAGCATTTGAGAGAGCCTTGATCATGAAATCAGTGCTTCCCTGCTGGAAACGATAGACTAATGGATTCGATTTATAGTCTAATTGATGGGACTTAACTACAGTTTACGCATTAACCTCACAATATGCAAGTCTATAAGAAGAAATTTGTTCTTTGGTATTTGGATCCTCTACTGATGCTATGAGTGCAGATCCCATGCTGATAAGTGGTACGGCGTCGTTCTGACTATCTCCAACTTAACATGTCATCTTTGTAGTTTGGCTCACAAACCCACCTTTCATTCTTTAGCCAGTACAACGCATCCACCACTCATGTATAGTACAGCCAAATCCCATCCCCACCATGCGACAATTCGATGGGAAAACATTTTTATCACAATGATGATGGGTGTCCTATTCAGAATTGAGAAATTTTTAGACCTCAATTTTCATTTTCCTGCTCCTGTTCGGAGCGTCCCTACAGATCCAAAATGTGGGTCAGTAAATATCATCCTTGGTGAATGGTACATGTAAAATTGGGTTTCTGGGGGATTTTTTGGTTTGAAGGAGTTAGTTGGATGCTATGGTCCAATGGCGACGGATACAAGTCATCGCCATTGGACCTGTTGACTGGTAACTGGTACAGTTAAATAATCCAAATATGATGTTTGCGTTTGCTCTTCTTGACCAGGCAGAAGCCATGAAACATCCTCCATGAGACCCTCCAATCTTTCTTGCTAAGTGCCAGCTTTTGTGGAAAGATTTGGTGAGTTTCAGTAATGGGACGGTGTATGTGGAAGGGTTTTTACCATCACTGGTAGGACTGAGTGGAGCAGCGACGTTGCGATTGTGGTGGGATGGGAGTTTGTTGAGATAAGCCAGTTCGGCTCTGGTATTTTTTTATTATATTTTATCACAAGGTTCCTGGGAACCAAAAATAAATAAAAAAGCTAAACGTGTATTTGTGAAACATCAAAACACAACCGTTTCAATTGGTGAACAGAGGATCTGACCCTTTTTTTTCCTTTTTTTTTTGGTTTTTTTTTTTTTTTTGGGGAGGCTTGGGGGGTGAGTGCTTAAAATTTCACATTTCCATCAAAACTTCTGGCTGGCTTAGTATGATTTTCCATTTTTTGTTTTGGTATCTACCTGCTAATTTATGGCTGATCACATTTTTAGTATAAGGAAGTAAATGGTTATTTGTGCATCTTATAGTCATGACCATATTTAAAAAGGAAAGTGCTGACAGACATTTGCCATTTTTGACAGTGATCGTTGGGGAAATTGCTAATTTTGCGGCTTATGCATTTGCGCCAGCTATACTAGTAACTCCTCTTGGTGCTCTCAGCATAATTATCAGGCATGATAAAAACTCGCACATGAATATGGTTGCTTCATAGTATTGAGTGCTGATCATAATGTTGTCTTGCAGTGCTGTGCTTGCACATATTATTTTACGTGAGAGACTTCATATTTTTGGGATTCTTGGTTGCGCTCTATGTGTTGTGGGTTCTACAACAATTGTGTTACATGCTCCTCAAGAACGTGGTATTGAATCTGTAACAGAAGTTTGGGATCTTGCCATGGAACCAGGTAATTGGTTTATTCTCTACAACCATTTGTCTTTTTATTGACTATTTGATTCTTAATTTGCATGGTTTACTCTCATTTGACTACACTGAAGGTAAAACAATTTGTTTTTTAATAATCATACTTGTTTGTTGGTAGGTTTTCTCTTGTATGCAGCTTTGGTCATAACTGCTGTGTTTATTCTTATATTCCACTTTATCCCGCAATATGGCCAGACACACATAATGGTCTACATTGGAGTTTGTTCCCTTGTAGGTTCCTTGTCGGTATGTATTGCTATATACTTCTGTTAATTTGAAATTAACTTTCTTTGTCTATGTCATCTTCTTTTCAAGTGTTTTTTACTCTTAACAGTGTCCTTTGACAGGTCATGAGTGTCAAAGCCCTTGGAATTGCTTTGAAGTTGACATTATCGGGCATGAATCAACTAGTTTATCCCCAAACTTGGGTCTTCACTTTAGTTGTCATTACATGTGTGCTTACCCAAATGAATTATTTGAACAAGGTAAGTATTAGTCCTTTCCTGTCCTTGCATAATTGTTTTATTTTTAAATTTTTTTTAATATTTTTTAAAGTTTTCTAAATAATCATCTTCTATTTCCTCTTTGGATAAAACCAAAAGTATTAGTCCTATAAAAAGGTGGAATTTTCCATTTTAAATTTCTCCTTCATTACATCCATAAAACGATGTCATCATATTCTAATTCAATCATTTCGAAGCTGTCAACAACCCAGGTGGTGGGTAAATTTAATCCATACCATTAACAATTTTCTTGAGTGACAGTGACCTCAGCTAACATGGGAGAATACATGTTCCCATAACGTGTACTTTCTGGTCTTCTTTATTGGTGGAATCCTGCCCCCTTTTTGTATATTTAAACTTTAACTCAATCGAACTTGCTTTTCATTGACCTTTTTTCATTTCACCCAAGCAAATTTTAAGACAGTTATAAAAAAAACTTAATGATAATGCCAATCATCAGAAAAGGAACAAAGGATGTTTTGAGGAAGGCCTGTACTTGAGAAAAAGTCCAATCATGAAGCTTGCCCCTTTCTTGGTGCTTCAGCATTTGCTTTCACTGATGTCCAAAACCAGCCTAATGATGCATTATGTGACAGATCCTCAGCAACAGTATGCAGATTTTGTCAATTATGACAAAACTATAATAGTTCACATTATTTGATTGTGGGTCTTGTTTTTACCTGTTACAATAGCCTCCTTTTGAATTTGTAGTCACTTTCTATTTCCTTTTTGTTTTTCTTGTACGTTTATGGAGGATGGAACCATGTTTTACCCTTTTTCTTCATTGTTAATTTGTTATTGTTTTCTAATGGCTCTTTGAATTATTATGATATTTTTTTCCCTTCCATTGCAGGCACTTGATACTTTCAACACAGCTGTGGTATCTCCGATATACTATGTTATGTTCACATCACTAACTATTCTGGCTAGCGTTATCATGTTTAAGGTATATTCTTCCTGCGATTATATTGGTACTCTTTTTATTTTTGTTGTTACTTTGTAAATGTTTTTCTGGTTAGTTAGATTTAAAATTTTCTGTCATGAAACGCTTCAGTCTCAATCGAGGTGTCCATTGCTGCCACCCTCTGCGTAACTTTTAATTATAAGCCAGTCCTCCAAATATTTTCTTTTTTTCTTATTATGATGGGGTGATATTGAGTCTACATTTTTCCTATGTTACTGTATTTTCAGGATTGGGACAGACAGAGTCCAACCCAGGTTATCACGGAAATGTGTGGGTTTGTGACTATCCTTGGAGGAACTTTTCTGCTTCACAGAACGAAGGATATGGTTGATGGTATGTTTCCTTCTATTATTTTTATCATTGATAGATTATTGTCAATCTTAACAAGGAACCTATGGTTGGGTGTTTGGTACTTGCCTGCATGGTTTTTGGACTCTCTGAAAAATAAATTCATGTTTCCCATACTGAACCTTGGATTGGTAATGTCATTGAATTGTACAGGTTTGCCAACATCAATGTCCTCCATGCGACTATCGAAGCATGCAGACGAGGATGGAATTGATGGTGAAGGCATCCCTCTTAGACGGCAGGATAGCTCGAGATCACCATGATGCATTCTTTAGCTCACATCTGCCATTCCCACAAGCTTGCATGCTTATTTTTGGGGGACGTTGCTAAGTGTACCTGTACTTTATGGAGCATCGTATCTACCCCATCCTACCCAATCTTATATATTTTTTTGGATAGCTTCAGAGATTGGTAAGAGTTTTCCCCCTTTTTTGTTTATTTTCGCTGATTGGCTTTACAGTTACTGCTTTTAGCAATATCATTGTATACTCTCTCCCCACTCCTTGACAAAGAGATTGGCCAATTGTAATTTTACGCAAATTGGTTCCGCGGTGTATCTTTTGGCTAACATTTGCCATTCAATGGATTTTTAAAGAAAATCTGAGATGGGCTTCTCTCTCTCTCTCTCTCTCTCTCTCTCTCTCTCTCTCTCTCTCTCTCTCTCTCACGCGTGCACACACACACACACACACAAAGCGAATCTGGCTGATTGAATTTTTGTACAACACCGGCAGCAAACACATGTAAAACTAGAGAGTTAATACTTATTGTGCCCCAATATTTGTCTGATATCTTGGTGCACAAGTCACCACATGAACTGTCCTTGCTCGGATAGCATGTGTTTCTTTTGTTGTAATTTTCATTTTTAGAATAAATAATTCTAAATACGTCGGAGAATTGATCAGTGGCCCCCAATAAAAAAGAAAAAAAGAAAAAAAAAGGCCATGGTTGCCCTCTTGAGATACCTTGCCACCATCTCAAGAGGTCAACCATGGCTCTTTTTTTATGTTTTTGTTTTTTTTTGTTTTTGGGTTGTGGGGAATGCATGTTAAGGCTCGCATTAAGAGCAAAGAAGAGAAGCAAAACACCCCTTCCTTAAAGCAAAGCAGGGTCTGAAACTTGAGCTAAAAGGAACCAGTTGGTTTACATTGGACGTAATGATTTGTAGTCGTAATGGAAAAGGAAATCTTTAGAAAAACGTTTTGAGGCAATAACAATTCTAATTGTAGCATCTAAACTTGGGTTTAATTAATTAATCATACTCTGATTTCTTATCCAAAAATAATTAAATGGCTTATGGATTTCACGATTTCCCCTCACCATCTTGCCTTGTGATAAAATAATGAGGATTATTCTACCTCCTCGTGCCCCCTAAATCAAGCAAGAAATCATTGTCATTTCGATTTGCAGCATGTGTGGTGAACCAGAGACACAAGTTTATACTGAGGGGTAATCTAGGGCAGCGAACCTCAACCTTGTGACAAATTGGAATACAATTCATTACATTATAGTATGAAGAATGGTTGGATTTAAAGATTGATGAAATAATTGGTATTTTTAAAAAAATTTAATTTAAATTAAATATATATATATTATTCATTTATATTTAGTGCCCATGATGAGAACTTATAATTTAAAGCGTGGCTGTCCACAGAAATCAAGTACCCAAATACACATTCTGAGTGCAAATAAAACCGTAAACAGTATGCTACTGTTGCGTTGGAATAACCAAGCGTCTTTGAGGAGGAGAAAAACTTCCCTACCCCCTTTGCATTGCATTGCCCTTTTTTCATATCAATGCAACGGGATAGGAAAGCATCTCCTTGAAAAGGGTCCAACTGCTTACCAATCTTCGTTATCATAGTCTGACCGTTTTTAGAACCGTAAAACCAATCTTCGTTTAATGCTGGTTACCAGATTTCAGGATGCAAAATAGTTCAAGTAAAACTGTAAGCTTGTAATGTAATGGCATATTGCATTTCAAACCAAAATAAGAAATAAATAATATAAAAAAAGACATATTGCCTTCTTTTATTTACGTGAAAAAGAATCCAGCTCTAGATCGATTCACATGTATGAAAATAAAACCTTACGCACACAAGTGTATCAATCAAGACATCAACAGAAAACTTTTCTAGCATCCTTTACACTATTTTTGTTTTCCCTCCCCCACCTTCTATTGCACTTAATGTGCCATAAGCTTCTAGTAACAAGAGAAGCTTATGGCAAGTCGTAATCACATCAAGCATTTGGCTGCTGTGGTATTTTGCCTGGAGTATGATAGAGGTAGAGCTACATTTAGTCATTAAGTGCAAAATTGACAACACTTTCTACTTTGGCTTTTGCTTCAAAAGACCAGAGAGCGAAGCACAGTGAGTCGAATTGTAATTGTGTTTCTCGCAGCAAGACTGCAGCAATTCAATGACTGTAATGCACCTGCCAAGTATAAACACTAATCACAAAAGTAATAACAGAAAACAGGAAGAATATAATGCCTGAGAAGAGAGGAATCACGAATGCATATGTTTGATATTGACTATTACTCTGACATATATAGCCAGTTACACATAATAACTGATATGAAAAGGACAGATACTTCAAAGTGGAAACCACCAATTAGCTTTGAATGCAAACAATCTAATGTCACAACTTCTGAATGTCAGCAGAACGCAGGAATCAACTCCCAAAGTTCCATAAAATTGGTTACCAGTTCAATATATACACAAATGAGCATTATATAAAAGAACAAATCCAACATACTCAAAATCCAGCATATTCAAAAGCACAAATGAGTATTACTTAAAAGCACAAAGCACAAATCAGATCATGACACTTCGAGTTTGACAACCAAGAGAAGACCTTAAATCCACAATAACTACAAATGTCGGGACAACCAGACCATGTATTTTATATGAGTTTGACATCGAAATATTGACAGATGTTGGCTCAAACAGCAACCAAAGGTGAAAAAAGACATTGGAAGAGAATGGTCTGAGTAGGATAAGTACTAATGAATGTAACCACATATTATTCTCCATGACTCGTACCAGACACTCAATTTCCACGATCATGATCAAAGAAGACTTTAAGGCGGCTTTAGCATAGCAGTTACTTTATTCACCCTAGCTACCAGGGTGACTCCACATAATTATGGCTTAAATATTTAAAGTAAAGTAAGCTGGCAAAACTATTATCAAAAACCAGATATAATTTTTATTTTCAATTGAAAGGTTGAACAGGAAGGCCTTCTAGTTTATGTCAAACAGGCACCTAAGCACCAGAGAAGTTTGTTGAAAAGCCACATACTAAAACTTAATATTCAATCTCCTTGATCAACCGCACTTACACTCTAAAGAAGTAGATATAAATGGTGAGTCTTTGAAACTGTTCTATCCAACTTGCAATGGATGTGTCATTTGTGCCAATTGGAAACACAAGATGGTGTCAACCCACCCAAAACTCAATTTTCATAAAAAAAGAAAAAAGAGAAAAGGAAAAGATAGAGACAAAATGTATGCCTCATAAACCACTGTTTCTAAAGACCTGCTAAGATAGCCGAAAATGTTAGAATGGTCCTTCATTATTTTGTTAAAAGAAAAGGGTGGAATCATTTGCTGGTCATATATGCACAAGCTAAGCGACCAACCAAGAGTTGAAACAAACATAAAGCCACAACTCCTAGTCAGTAAAGCTGGATATATACCAGTATGAGTATAACTCCATCTGTTGTTGGAGATCACAGATGCACACTTTCATGGTCCTAAAAGAAAAAATTGCCAAAGAAAACATTGCCAAGGAAACAACTAAACTAAACCAGTTTCCCTTGAATTGTTCCCACTTTGTGTCAAAGCACCACTTTTTTGGGATCTTTCTTTAAAAAAAAAATTGAGTGGAAGTTTCTATATTGAGTGATAACATTATCATCCTACTTGGGTTGAACTTATACAACAATGAAACCAAATTAAGTGTATAAATTTGAAAAAACCAAACCAGAATATATATATGAAGAAAAAATCCAAAGCAAACATTGGAAATGAAAAAAAAAAAACCCTAACCAGCTAAATATCACAATCCATGTATGTACAAATAAACCAGACCAAAACGAAAGATAAAGAAATAAACAGAAGTTAGATAGAGATATTCGACAATGAAATTAAATTTTCATTTCGTGGAAAAATTGGAAAGAGCATTCAGAAATGTTATTTGATGTTTCCTCTGTCTTCTCGGCAACCAAACAAGAGATATATAGATTAATTAGGCGGAAAAAGAAGACGTACTTTTGAGGGAGGAAGTTGTTCTTGGAGAGACATGCTTGAATGTAGCAAGCTTCTTTCTTGCACGGCTCTATGCTTTCTTGCTTCGCCATCTCTATTTTCTAATTTCTAATCGATTTGCGTTCGAAAATGGCAGCTTTTGCGGTTTCTCGTATTTTCAAGGGCGACCGACCACCGACCTTTCCTATAGTGCCACCTACTGTGCAGGTTCTGTCATGCCCCCGGTTAAGCAATTGCTTTATGCGATTTTTTCTTTTTTTGAGTTTTGGTGGCTCTACAAACGCTTTTTCACAATCAAATGTATTGGCTCAATAATAAAAGTGTTTATATGATCATAAAAACATTTAACAGATGGTTCTTATGAAATCAATTCGAGAAGCACTTGGATTTTTAACAACAAAAAAAGCATTTATTCTGCATCCGAATTTCTTGGGTTCGATTCTACTTCTTAAATATCTCTAGTATTAAAAATGAATTAATTAAATTTAATGTTTTAATTCTTTAGTAAATTTATATGTTTCATATCATGATTTCATCTGCTAATTTTATTGTCACCCCCAAAATAATGAGGCACGGACGTACACAAGTCTCAAATTGGAATTCATGACAACTTATTGGTATGTGTTTGGGAGAAAACTTATACCCTTTCTAACCTTTCTAACTTGGGCAAACCAGAAAAAAAAAAAAAAGTTTACTCAATTTTTTTTGCTGGCACCATAGTCTTAAATATAGATAATAGCGACGAAATATCGAGGATATTTCGGTTTTTTCGAATCACGGATATTTCGGAACATATTCATGTACGTATCGTATAAATATCGACGATAATATCGGAAAATATTGATGTCGATAATTTCGCTCACACTTCAGCAATATTTTGTCAAAATATCGATGTAATATCGCTAAAATATCGATGTAAAGAAAAAAAAAGAAAAAAAAAAGGAAAAAAGGGAGGAAAAAAAAACACAAAGGGGATTTGAACCCCTCCCATTTTACTCCTCCAACACCTTAACCACCATATATCACTTATGTTTTAGTGATAATATGTTAAAATATTTATATTTATATGAGTGACATGTTAACAATTACATGCAAAACTATTTTGGGGATTTATCATTTGATGAATACTCTTCACTATACACTTACTCTACACGTAAAGATGATGACGATAGTGAAAAATTTGAACCTCATAGGAATTCTATGTGGTACTAAGTCGCTTATGTATCTTATCATGCAATGTATAAAGTGTAAAATATTGTAGTAAATCATTATATATAAACGATTATGGTATGTTTAATCTTTTTTTCATTAATTACTACATATTTTTTACACTCACAGTATTTGCCAGCTCGCTGTATAATCAACTTAATCAGTTAAATCCATCATGTAATATATTTCTTTCTAATTTTTTTATTATAAACTAATAGATAATTGACTAAATAAACATTCTCCAAAGTTTCAATAAAAATTTCCAAGTATTTATTACAATTTCCGTGGTTTTTATTCATTTTTATCGATATCGATAATATCCCGATATTTCCTTCAAAATTTTCACATTTTTGAACTACCAATATTTTCGATATCATCGATATTTTAGACCATGTGGCACCAACCAATTGTGATAGCTGACGCCGTTAAAGAATAGAAAACGAAGTTACCCTCCTCCTTAAAAAGGCCGTCTCGAAGTTTCTGTCACAGAAGAAAACTCAGTTTTAGTTGTGAATGTGTTGTGTTGTGTTGTGTTGTGTCTCGTTTTCAAGTAATTTAATTCAACTCAATTCTGAAAAGAATGGAAGCTGCAAAGCCATTGATAAACGCTTTCAGAACAAAATCAAAGCAGGCCACGCTGCTTTGGCTTGAGGGCTTCAGAGAGGCCTGTTGCCTTCACCGTGTCTTCATCCTCTGCCACCCGATAATTACTTCAATTGCACGCTTTAATTAGTTTCAATTTATTTTAGTTAAATTGCCTCTACTTCTTGTTTGGTTGGCGAGAAAACGAAACAAACGAGAGAAAAATAAAGGGTTTTTCTTTTTCTTTTTCTTTTTCTTTTTCTTTTTCTTTATCCTTTTTGGTTGCCTTTTGTTCGCCTCCAGGCGTTGGATAAATTTTACTTCACTTTCCAAGGACCCAACGGGGAAAAAAATTCATAAATTTAGTTTTATTTGGTTTAGTTTTTATTAACTTAAGTTCTGATGGCAGGTCGAGAAAGCTTTTGATACGTACAGGACAGTGTTTTCTATTGAATGGCTTCATTTTCTTAGGAAGGTAATCTCTTTCTGTTGCTCTCTGTGTAAGGTTGGCCTTATTAGTTATAAAAGAATGTATCTGGGATACGTTTCATCACTTGTGAAAATTTGAGCTGCTCATAGCTGATATATTGGGTACTTGAGATTTTTCTCACACTTCCATGGAAGAAAAATAGAGAAGTCTATCACTTTATAAATAAAAATTAATGAAGAAGAATAGGTGATATAGGCTGAATAAAATGGCATGAGAAGGAGTAGAAATAAATAAATTAATTTAGTGGCTGAAATTGAAAACAGTGCAACGGCTGCTGTGGTCGCTGTGAATCGTAAGTAATAAATCTGTGCAATTTGTTCTGCTTGCCTTACATTGTTCCACAGTTCAAAATTTTCCATTGATTATAGTGTGTTAGACAACTCATTTGGTAAATCTGATTATTCTTTTTCACGGGTGCAAGTGGTTTTGGCAATGGAGTTGGTTTGATTAAACTAAGTATGGTTTCGTGCCCCCCTCATAGTAGTTTTTAGACCAACTTCTTCGAAGATGTATATTCTTGTTTAGAGCATTTTTTAGATCTTAGTTTATGTTTAGGATTTTTGCATATGATTAGGTGTATCTTTTTCAACCCCAACTGAATATGTTTCATTGTTTTATAAGTGTTTTTTTGTTTCCTGTTTAGAGTATTTTTAGGATCTCTGCATATCTTCAAAGGTAATTCCTACAACATTTTGGGAGATGCAAGCAGTTGATTATTTTGGCGAAGTTATAGGGTGCTCAATATAAGATGCAAATTAGGTTTTCTTGATCTTTTCATGAGGAGTCAAAAATCTTAGGAATTACTTGAAATAAACACTTTTTGATGATTATACTAGTCTTTAGACAGTTTGTACAGAGTCTACTATCCTCAAAAGTACTCTATAAAGGTGAGCAACTGGTGTTCAAATTTGGATCTTGCATTCTTTCCATTTCATCTCGTGATGCTGCCCTTATCTTTGGCTGTGTAACAGTAGGCGACTGAAAGATGTCAACTAAGATGTGCTTAGGTCTAGGACTAGGTCAAGATGTAATTCGGTTGTTGTAGACGCTATGAATAATGTTGATCAAAGTAGAGGGATTAGAATGATAAAAGAACCCCCAAAGGGCCTAACCAGGAACCTCAGACCACATGAAATGTTTCTCCAAGGCTCAAGGGAGTTTACTAGAACCCCTCAACATGACTTGGAATCCCACCCTTGTTCTTTTTTCAGAATATCCATTGTCTGCTGTAGGGCTAATCTGAATTACTTTCTTCTGTTTCTGCATTCAAGAAATCAATATTTTAACTTTCTCACAGGGTGGGTTGTTTCCAAAGACCACATTGGTTAAGAAGAGTGTTTTTGTCATCAAAGTGAACTGGACTGAATGAAGGAATTTGATTAACATGATGATACATGTGATTCTTATGTCTAATAATATTGAGGTCTAAAAGAATCATTTAAATCAATGATTTCCATGTCACAGTTTGCTTCCATTCTTCTATCAATCTAAATAGTCTAGTTATTTTTATTTTCTGCTGAAGTTGTGCTCTTATTACTATTAATGTGGATGCTCTCAAGCTTGAAGATGCTTATATCTGGTTGCCTGAGTTGATTTATTTCCCAGTATGACCTCTGCTAACAAATTTGTAAAGTAGAACCTACTCATAAGAGTGCTTTAAGTGGTTTGGTGGACAAGTGCATTTTAAATCCTGCATGTCTGAGACTTGAAATTTGAATTCCTAATTTGTCTTTGTGCAGTATAATTATCCTTAACTCAGTCATCGTCCCAGCTCTACACTGGATATTACCTGATAGGTGCCCGGAATTTAGTTCTCAAGAACTCTGCTCATTTGGTGGTATTTTGAAATTTTATTCCTTCTTACGTCTTGGGCTCATACAACTCTTTTATGTAAGTTGCAGTTTATGTCAAGTTCATTTTTGTAATTTCAACTGTGTGGCTTTCTTGAAAACCATTGAGCTAATCTGTCCATATAAAAAAAAAATTTTGGGCATGCATCATGGAATTTTTTTGATGTTTAATTCTGTTTTGTTAAATTATAATTATGTATTATGTACTCATACACACTACTAAGTTTGTTATCTTATAAAGTATATTATTATGGACACATGAATTGCCCATTGGTTTGTTCTTATAAAAAAAAAACTATCTGTTTGCTGATTGGGTTAGGTTAACTGGTGAACCGAAGTATTAAAAAAATAGTGCATACAGATTACAAGAATAATCAACATGCTACTTTAGTTGTCAAATAGTACAAGGACACACATGCCCACCAAAACAAACTCAATGTTTATAATACTTCATTTTCGCCAGGCAATAAACACACAAAAATATGATTACCACTAGGCTAATAGAGATCCCCAAACTTAGATGTTGGCTCGGATTTCTGTGCATTCCAACTGTACTTCGCATGCTTTTCTTCAAGTTTTTGAGATTGTGGTGTGAAAGGACTTGATATGTGACTTTTACATCCTAAAGGAGACAAAGTAGTTTTTCAAGAGCAGCCTGAATAAGACACAAATTGATTAATGTTCGTATAGGAGCTAATGATAAATTATAACAAAGAACATACAAATAAAAAATGAAATTGCAGATGAATTAAATCAGTAAAAACTTCAAATAAAAACCAAGTGAAATGTACCTAATTCCTATACCTGAAATAAGCAAAGTTTTTTTTTTTTTTTTTTTCTGCATAGATGGTTAGTACAATTTCAAACGTCTATTGGAGAATGAATAAAGCCCAATTTTGTTGAAATTTGCAGCAAACTAAGGTTGCATCCGTTTTCATCTTTAATTTGGAATATCCTTTAGGACCTCCATCAAATTGCACGCATAGTAGCTTTTCCTGGTTACCAAAATATCTGCAATTCTTGAAAGGGAAACCTTTATTAAGGTAACTTGATAAAACTTTACCTTTGGAAATTTATTGTTTATTTAAATCTTCCTTGCACCTAACCTGGATCACGTCCTTAAGGTGTTAAGACTAAGTGTATGCTGTGGTTAACTTTGAAA